GATTCATTGTAGGTTTGATCCACTGGACAGAACTAAGGAGGGGCAGAGCTTCTACTAAAATAATCTCTCCTTGTTGGGGTAAGCCGCGGCTGCGGTATGCCACGTTTGAACATCTGGTAGCTGAGATTGCGCGCTCCACGGCGAAGGCCGCAGCACAACCGCAGTACTGTTCAAAGTTGTCGTTTTGTCATTCAAGTTCTCGTTTTACACATCTTGAAGTCCTGGCTCAAATCATTCTCATCCCTTTTTGACGTTGAATTTGGCTCTCGAATAAACTAAAAGTGATTGCAGTGTCAAGTGGCTTTTAAATATAATTTTTCTCTTGTTCCAGGTGGAATTCCTTTCAACGCCTAATTATATAAGAAATGGTTGGTTTCAAGAATCTCATCTTTTTCAGCCCACATGTTACTTCCATGCTCTAAATTTTGTTTTGCCATGAAATTTTAGTGTCGCTTTTCAGCAGCAGGGCGCTATGACAGTCGTACCACTATCTTTTCCCCAGAGGGTCGCCTCTATCAGGTGAGTTGCTGCAGTACGTGGTCCGTTAATGTGAAGCATGACGACGGAATTTAGGTGGAATATGCAATGGAGGCGATTAGCCATGCTGGAACTTGCTTGGGAATCCTCTCAACCGATGGCATTTTGATAGCAGCAGAAAAAAGAACGTCCACAAGCTTCTTGATGATACGGTGAGTATACCCTTCAGAGGTCTCTATACACCTCACTGTCGCTCAACTGCATCGTTTACACTTCTCTTTTCTACCTACTTTTCGTGTTGCATGAACCCTGCTACTCTTTTTATCGCACCTTGCCAAGGACCGTATTTCGGCTTTCAAAATAGTTACCGGATAGTGGGTTATAGATAAAGACTTCCTGGTAAATTGGAATTACAATATCGTGTTTTTGTACGGTTTTGCTCTACATTGCCTATGTTTTGGAATGCTTTTCGGCCTTATTGCACTGTATTACAACCCTAGTAGGGGTGAAATAGGTCAAAAAAATTTTAGCGGTAAACTTTCCAATGACGGTCGAGGAGCTAATCCGGAGTAGAACTCCAATTTTTAACGTGCCAATCTGTTTTCTATGCATATCTCAAGAATGCAATGAAATATCTGTTTATATGTTTCCCTCTCATTACAGGTTCTTGCCTGAGAAAATCTATCGACTCTCGGAAAATATCACATGTACGGTCGCTGGAATTACTGCCGATGCTAACATTCTTATCAACCATCTTAGATGGTGAGATTCAAGTGTAGTTGAGCTGCTAGTATTTCACACAAGGATGTTCTTCAAAAGCGCCTTGTCTTAGGTGGGCTGCTCAGTATAAACTGTCATATGGAGAAGAGATGCCAGTCGAGCAACTGGTACTCGTATCGTCTGCAACGAGAAGCAGCGATCACTCAATGGAAGTAGTATAGATTATAGCTCTACGCCGTCAATTGTCCTAATACGTCTGCTTGCAATGCAATTTCACAATTGTCTTTGCTTCGGAAGTTATACTGTTTAGGAAAACGACCATTCGGTGTGTCTCTTCTTTACATGGGATGGGACAAGCACTACGGATACCAACTTTACCAGTCCGATCCATCTGGAAATTACACTGGTTGGAAGGCGACGTGCATCGGCAATAATCACCAGGTACTTAATTCATATCCTTAGCATCAATAGAAGTGTTTTCGAGCAGATTTTTTTTACAGGCTGCTATGTCCTTGTTGAAACAGGAATATAAGAGCCCAACCCTTGCAGAGGCGAAAAAGTTGGCTGTTAAGGTTTTATGGAAGACTCTTGACGTCAAACTGACAAATGAGAAAGGTATTTTTTGGTGAAAAGAATTCAAATTCTCTATTGCTAAGAACTCAATTGAAAGTATTTCTAAGTGAAAGGGCAGATGGTATTTCTACAGTAAACATACATGCTTTTCTCGCGAAAAAAAGCTGTAGAAACTTTTTTTTACACATATACGGCATGAGTTTCGCTCCATTTCACCTTTTTTGCAAGTTTTTTTTGCATGCATTCTATAGATCATGCCTAAAGATAACTGTAGACGTATTTGCAGAAAGGACAGATGCTTGTTCAAGAAAGGTTTTTAAGGGTTGCAAAATTTTCAGTTCATTAAATTTTGTTTTCTTTTTATTTCCATGGTAGAGGTAGATCACTTCAATCGCAAAATCCTATTGATGGCAGAATTTGGGTTATCACTGAAGCAATCATGGCGAGCGTGCTTTTGGCATTCACTGCAATGATATTTGTTTTGCTTTTTCATTGCCATTACTCCCCTTATGATCAATGTTTATTCAATACACTCCTAAATAATGTTTTTGCTTCCAATCCATTTGCTGCCTACTGCCAATCGAAATCCACGGATGCTAGACAAGTTGACTCTGGTCGCAAGATCGCTCCCACGGTCTGAATACCAGAACGCGCGCTGCCGTAAATTTGTCAATTCACGTACATCGTTCATCTTTTTTGATAAGGATACTACTCAAGACGAATCTTATTCGCTCATTTCCTTATACTGTCTATATGTAGCTATCTTATTTTTGGTTCGATTTGCACTTCGATGTGAAGTATTCTATGTAAATTTTCTTCACATTTAAGTGGAAATGGCTGTCTTGACGCGTCGTGATGGAAAAACAGTAGTTGAGGAATTGACTGGTACAGAGGTTTGTGGACTCGCTCTCTTACTTCCTTTGATTCTGCTGACATTTTTCTTGAAGGACTTAATCAAAATCTTTGTTTTAGGTTGAGAAGCTTATCAAGGAACACGAAGAGAAAGAAAAGGAAGCTGAAGCTAAGTAAACGATACTCATAGACGTTATCTGTTGCTGTGTTTAATTCCATACAGACTCCTATTTATTTGAAGTGCACGAGTGTTTCTCGTTCGAGTTTTGCTGTTGTACGGTTAATAATGATAAAACATTGTATTTATACCAGATTAGCACTTATGATGCCATGTGATGTGCTTCACCTTCAGTGCTTGTTTATACCTGTAGCAATGCTACCTCAATGAATTAAGAAATGCTCATTTGCTCAGACTCTTAAACAACCCGTACGACGGCACTATTTTTGTCCTTGACCGGACTCCAACTTCTTTTCCATTGCTATCGGTTTTGAGCCCTGGCTGTGTGACGCACTGCTACAGTGGTTGCTGCTCTATCCCCGATACCATATGTCGGAGGGCCAC